GAACGACTTTGGCACCGCGCCAAACGCAGCCGCACTGACACGCCCCACCGGTCCGCAATGATGAGGACTATACGTAGATGACGTGACTGGGAAACAGAATTGTATGTGCCAATCGACCGCTCACAAAGAAAACGGAAAGAAAACCGTCGAGAAGGCTTCAAATAAGGCCCTGCTCGTGCCACGCGAAAAGAACACAATCAATGTGATATCGGGAGAGGGGACCAGAGAAAACAGCGAAAGAGTATGCAAACGAAGGTGCAAACGAAGGAGGACGTAGATAAGACATCTATCAATTTGGGCGGTGTCAATTGAGCAATCTTGCGCCTTACGCTAGCTTGTCACTCTCTGACGTGAGGCTTGTACATGGTTGTTCGTCGCAGTTCACAGTACCTGTTCAAGCGAAGAGTCTAGCTAATTATAAGCGAACGTGGGCTCTGCCTTTAAAACAACACTAGAATCGTGATTTCGCTCGCGGAATATTCCGGCTCCTGAGACAATGATAAGCAAGTGGTAAGGGAAGTATTAAACTGGAAGGTGGATATGATCTAGGGTAAGCTTTTTGAATGCTAATTTTGTTTTTGTTGAATAAAATTAGTAAAAGAACCTTGTTAATCATGCTGCAAATCAGTTTATACTAGCTACGATATAACAATGATCATGACCAGTCAACAACAAATGAACCTTTTGGCTTCATGGTTCGGTGCCAATATCCGCTATCCGGCTCATCAATTTATACGTATGAGTGCTAATGAGTTCTGGGGAGAGTTAAGCTGAGAGGGCAGAAGGCGGACTTGATATTCTAATAATAGAACAGGAAGACATGAGGTTTAGATTCCAGTTCCGGCTGAGTCAAAGCGTTTAACTTAACATCTTCCTGCTTACTTCACAGTAATATACTGGGAGGATTAGGCTAGAGAGGACCGAAGTATAAAGCCACTGAGGGAAATGTGAAAGAATTGTTACAAATTACATATACACTCGTCTGTCTAACAGGCTCCATTAGCGAGAAAAACATATCGCGAACTTTCTTTCTCTTTAACTGGCTTTATTATATAAAGAGAATCAACTCATACCCTATGCGGGAAAACCGTTAGTTTTCCCATGTAGGAAAGCCTGCCCCGCAATATTGCTTATGACTTCTTTCCGGCCCATTAGGCAGCTTATAGGCATTTTCCCCCCAGGAATGGCAAACTGTTACGAGACAATTCATGCAAAATGTCGATGACACTTTGACATGAGCGTGGGTTTTGACTTCCTGCCCAAATGACGGGTTACTCCATAGAGCAGCCAGTATTCCAATTCAGTAATGCCCGGGTCAGACAATGGACAAAAAGTTCTATTCGGTTTTTCTATACAAAGTGAGCAATTGCTCACACCAGGTTACAGCGAAAGGGTGTGAGCTGCAATGAACAATCCTGTATAAGTGTCACGTCAGAAGGAGTCAAGGTAGCGGCGATGAGGCGCAAGGCTGCTCAAGTGACTCCGCCCAAGTTGACAGATGTCTTATCCGCGTTCTAATTCGTTGGCATGCCCTCTCGCTGCTTGCCCTGCCCTCTCACTCCCGATATCCTCAGTGACTAATTAATTGGCCTTTCGCGCGCTACGAGTATGGCCTTAATTGGACCACGATTTCTTTTCCGATCTCAAAGGTAAGGTAGGTACGGTATTTGTTTTTCCCTATTAATTATGGGATGGTCTAGTGGGTCTCGAAGGTCTCGTAGGGTGGTATGACATTTGGTCGTATAAATCATAAATTGGTTTCCACTTCCAGGCTCCGAAGAAGGCAATCGTGCCGAAACGTTAGCCTACTACTGTGTTTAACAACCTCGTGTGAAGTTTGAAGACAAATAAATATTCGATTTCCTTTCCTTTTTTCTTCATGAGCCCACGATCACTTATGATTCTCCCGCACGCGGCCTTTCCAATCTTGCGCGAAGCGCCCACCGCAGATATACTGCACACAATGAGACCCCATTACATGCCCCACCCCAGACAACCACGCCCATTTTGCCGGAAACAGCACCTACAAGTTCCGTTTCTCAACCATGCCACCTACGAACTTTTCGCTGGCTCATCGCGAAGCTGTCTTCAATGAGTGGAGTCGCGGTATGTGGCGATTCTATCGTGGGTCGTGGACAATGGCGGGCGTGGCCTGCGACGCCGCAGCCTTTGCGTACGAGCTATGATGTCGCATTGCTCTTTCATATCATTGAATGAATCCATCCAATCGCTGCTCAGAAAACCACCTCGTGAACAAGAACAAACCTCCTGCTCTAGCAACCACTCAAGCGGATACGGTAGTGCAAATCTGACATTGTAGCGCGAGTCACCGCCGCTACGTGAGGTGTGCAACCTCGTTGGTTCACGATAGAATCGCCCGTCTCCCATGAAGTCCCAAGCCCACGAACACGATCATTATCGCAGTACCATGATTCGATCAAGGCACGTCCTCCGTTGGGGAACCTTCAGCGGGAAGGGTTCGTCTTTGGTCGTTGGGGGAGGTGGAGTTCGTATATGGTCAGAGAAAACTTTTTTTTGATAGTCGATTTTTCCTGTTTCACGAGCGCTATTGACAACTATCGGGGGAGGGGGGGGGCAGGTTTTCGCCTCTAAGAAATACTCGCAGCATTGCGGAATGCGGAAAAATTTTCCAGGTTTCCCCTCCGTGCTGATGTACCTCCCCCTCGACGGTAAAATATTTCGGGGAAAAACTAGGAAACTTTTGGGAAATTTCGAGGAAGTGGTAGCAAACTTGGAAAATCGGGGCAAGAGAGGCGAGATAATAGATCAGGATGGGGAGGGGGGTCGTAAGTGCGAAACTTGCGGGTAGCTTCGTATTTTTTTTCCTCAGTGGCAGGACGTGTCCTGATTACGATACAAAGTACGATAATTGTATTTAGAATAACTACAAATGCATAATCTTTACATGAGTCTATAAGTTTGGCCTCTACAGCTTTCACGTCTAAGTCAGAATGGGTGAACTAAGGTTTTAGAAAGGCAGAAGTCAATGTATAAGGTAGGTAGAAGTAATGTAATAGGATGACTGGGGACTAAGTCGATTTTCATAATGCAAAAAAAACGTTAGTAACAGGTGTATTTAAGTACAGGGTATTAGAGTAGCAAAAAGGCCCTATCAGTAACTTGTG